TTGGCATTACAGTTCAGTGTTTTAAATATATAGAGTACACATGAGAGGATGTGCAGTGACTTAATATCTAACATATTCAAAGATTTAAGTAAGGGTACCGAGTGCTGTCTGGGGGCCCATTTGATATTATTCTAATTTGCAGACGAGGCGTCACAATATCGTGGCTGAAATATGTTGACCAAACCACACACTAGAAAGTGAAGGGACGACGACGTTTCGGTCCGTCCTGGACCATTATCAAGTCGATTGTGTTCCAGGTCGGACCGAAAGAATGGTTGAGCCAAAGAATAGTCCAGGACGAACCGAAACGTCGTCGTCCCTTCACTTTCTAGTGTGTGGTTTGGTCATCATTCTAATAGCAGATTTGTGTTGAGTAATTAGAGGGCGTAGATGATTTTGGGTAGTAGAACCCCAAACACAAATACCATAATTGAGATAAGGACAGATTAGAGAGTAATAGAGCGTCACCAGGGCAGGGCGAGAAACATAATATCTGATCTTAGAAAGAATGTCAACAGTTTTAGAAACTTTTTGCTATATATTGAATGTGGTCCTGGAAATTCAGCTTGTTATCGATGAGGACACCAATGAATTTACCATCTACTTTGTTACTAATTTGGATATTGTTTGTTCTTAGATTAATTTGATCTGAGGATTTATTACCAAACAAAATATAGAAGGTTTTGTCAATGTTAAGTGTGAGTTTGTTGGCAGTTAGCCAAAGATGGACTTTATTTAGTTCAGTGTTCACTGTAACATTTAGAGCAAGAGGGTCAGGACTGGAGAAATGAAGGTTGTGTCGTTAGCAAATAAAACTGGGTTGAGGTGTTAAGAGGCATTTGGAAGGTCATTACTGTAGATGAGAAAGAGGAGAGGGCCAAGTATGCTGCCCTGAGGAACACCAATGTTCATGTGTAGGGTCGAAGAAATTATAGAAATAGTGCTCCATGTTTCTCCATTAAGAGAAATACTGTTCCATGTTTTCTTTATGGTGCCCTTAATTTGGTAAAATTTATTTTCATAGTATTGTATTTTGGTTCTCCTAGTTATTTTAGACAGCATTGATGAGTATCTCCTTGAAACTTCTTTAGAGATGATCCCTAATTTATACTTGTCATGGTCATGACCACTCACAAGATGGGTATGGGGTCCACTACCACTCACAAGATGGGTATGGGCTCCACCACCACTCACAAGATGGGTATGGGGTCCACCTCCACTCACAAGATGGGTATGGGCTCCACCACCACTCACAAAATGGGTATGGGGTCCACCATCACTCACAAGATGGGTATGGGGTCCACCACCACTCACAAGATGGGTATGGGGTCCACCTCCACTCACAAGATGGGTATGGGGTCCACCACCACTCACAAGATGGGTATGGGCTCCACCACCACTCACAAGATGGGTATGGGCTCCACCACCACTCACAAGATGGGTATGGGCTCCACCACCACTCACAAGATGGGTATGGGGTCCACCTCCACTCACAAGATGGGTATGGGGTCCACCACCACTCACAAGATGGGTATGGGCTCCACCACCACTCACAAGATGGGTATGGGCTCCACCACCACTCACAAGATGGGTATGGGCTCCACCACCACTCACAAGATGGGTATGGGCTCCACCACCACTCACAAGATGGGTATATGGTAGATAATAAATGAAGCCAACAAGGAGACTGGTAGTTAATGGTAGTTAATGGTAGTCAGTGCCGTAAGCGACCTTCACTGCCTCACCCCTCGTCTGACTCACCAATGCCACAGCGAACACTTACTCAACAATAATACCATGAATTCAATTCATGTTAATTCACGTTACTCATATGAAATTACTGAACAGATACGCCGTTGATCTGGTTGTTGTTGTTGTTGTTGTTGTTAAAGATTCGCTACCTGGAACAAACAGTTCCAAGTAGCACGGGCTATGGTGAGCCCGTAGTGCCTTAATGATCTGGTGTATTATACTTCCTTCTCTTCCCCCCCCCCCCTTTTCACCAGCACCTTGTGACACCCCCCCCCCCCTCACCACCTGAAGCTTGCCCCATCCTCCCCTTCTCCCTCTCCCCCACGACTAGAATGTTGCCCCATTCCTCATGCAGCATGAGGACCTTGCCACATCACGGTCTCATTACATTAATACAAGTCAAATGTGTAGACCGCGCCCTCGCATACTTGTCTTGTTGGGAGCTGGTTGACGAGGCTCTCTGCTGAATTAGGCAGGGTGATCCTTGCTAATAATGGCTACTCTAATTAGTTTAATTGATGGAAGACCTCATTACCAGCAGGATGAATCGCCGGTCGCTTTAAGAAACGGTCAGCACTACAAAATCGGTCAGCACTTGGACGGTAGAGCGACGGTCTCGCTTCATGCAGGTCGCCTTGTAAGAGAGAGAGATGTCGTCTGTGCCTCTGTGTGATTGATTGATTGATGAAGATTAAGCCACTCAAAAGGTGGCACGGGCATGAATAGCCCGTAAGTGGTGGCCCTTTTGAGCCATTACCAGTATCAAGAGTTGATACTGGAGATCTGTGGAGGTGCGACTGCACCCTACGGGACGGGAGATGTCTCCCCCGTAGGCCTCTGTGTGCCAACACGAAAACTATTATAGTCCCAATGGTGTAATATATATTCTAGACAAGAAGTCTCTGAAGGCGCCTGACAATGTACAAATAACAAGGCACAATAAAAATTGTTTTTACACGCAAGGATACCATTAACAGTAATATCCTGACCGACAATAGAGAAGACATAGTGGAGGTGCTGCTACACATCACTCTCACTCTACTGTTAACAGCCAGCGAGGCGGGACCAAAGAGCCAAAGCTTAACCCCCGCAAGCACAAATAGGTGAGTACCTACACACATCCTACCATCCTACAGACCAAAGCTCACACCTCACCTACTGCCTCAGCCACCATCTCCTGGGTAAAACCTAGTCCAACCACTTGGGCTGGACGGTAGAGCGACGGTCTCGCTTTATACAGCTCGGCGTTCAATCCCCAACCGTCCAAGTGGTTGGGCACCATTCCTTTCCCCCCGTCCCATCCCAAATCCTTATCCTGACCCCTTCCAATTCCTATATAGGCAAGGCTCGATATTGGGGACAACCTTTTTGTTATATATTTCAATGGCATCAGTAAAATATGACAAACCACATCATCAAATTTGCAGATGACACTAAGATCTATGATAAAGTAAGAAGGGAAAAAGATATTGAGGCCTTACGAAGAGATCCCCCTTAACTCTACAATATTGGGGGGACCTTTGACAAGCCGCCGGCTTGCTATCCTCGTCGAGGCCACTAGAATTAGTGGCTCTCGGGTAAATTCCGGTCAAAGGACATCGCTGCTATGGAGAAGTACGAATCAAAGCGACACTACAACACAGACAGTGACAGACGAGAGGCACAACCTTCCAGCTCACAGACGAGGAACACCACCTTCCAGCTCACAGACGAGGAACACCACCTTCCAGCTCACAGACGAGGAACACCACCTTCCAGCTCACAGACGAGGAACACCACCTTCCAGCTCACAGACGAGGAACACCACCTTCCAGCTCACAGACGAGGAACACCACCTTCCAGCTCACAGACGAGGAACACCACCTTCCAGCTCACAGACGAGGAACACCACTTGTGGCTCAACAAGCCACACTAGAGGAAAGACAATATGTTTTGTCTTCCATAGGGTTATATAGGCAGCGCCACTCATCCTGTGAGTGAACACACCGCCATATTGACAGTATTGGGCAGCGCCACTCATCCTGTGAGTGGACACACCGCCATATTGACAGTATTGGGCAGGGCCACTCATCCTGTGAGTGAACACACCGCCATATTGACAGTATTGGGCAGCGCCACTCATCCTGTGAGTGGACACACCGCCATATTGACAGAATTGGGCAGGGCCACTCATCCTGTGAGTGAACACACCGCCATATTGACAGTATTGGGCAGCGCCACTCATCCTGTGAGTGGACACACCGCCATATTGACAGTATTGGGCAGCGCCACTCATCCTGTGAGTGGACACACTGCCATATTGACAGTATTGGGCAGCGCCACTCATCCTGTGAGTGAACACACCGCCATATTGACAGTATTGGGCAGCGCCACTCATCCTGTGAGTGGACACACCGCCATATTGACAGTATTGGGCAGGGCCACTCATCCTGTGATTGAACACACCGCCATATTGACAGTATTGGGCAGCGCCACTCATCCTGTGAGTGGACACACCGCCATAGTGACAGTATTATGACCCTGTAGGTGTCTACTACCGTGTGGGGTCAATGATCAACTAATTACTCAGCAAAACATCGTTGGATCATTGTATAAATAGCTATGTCATGACGTGATAACTGGCTCTTCTGGCATATTATATAGTCTTTATTTAACCCTACATATTGCTTCTATCTTCTCCGCTCTGGGTCTTTTCAGAGAATCTCTGCAATAACGTAGTATTTCCTGTTGTGTCCAAAAGCTTTAATGTCAAAAAAGATCTTTTTGTAACGACAAAAATAGCATAGAACCAGCACCAGGAGCGGAAGAACACGTCCGAACACTCGTGTTGAGCACTGGCTTAAGTGCAACACAATATTGCTCAGGGAGGAAATGTTGATGTTACAGATGTTGATCATTTGTGGTCCATTGTTTGTAAACTCTTTTTTTTTTTAGTTTTAAACATATGACTTCAAAGTTGCTAATAGGTCTTTGCATACAAGCCGTGTATATATCAATCATAGTTCCGCACACCGTCACCCACTTTGCAAAATTATTTAATAAAACAAACACACATACGTCCCGCAATGAGATAAATTAAATATTGCAAAAAAAAAACATTTATAACATTTATATCGCGATCTATATTTTGTCCCGGTATAGAACGTTGTACCTAGGATAATACGAGGATAATACAGCGAAAGTGAGTGACAAATCAGAACACGGGGGATTAAGCTTCTCTACCTTGTGTTGGAGGAGCTCGACGGACGTGGTCAGTGTGTCTCGAGACTCTGTGGAGGGAGGTGTACGGTTGGTGTTCCTCTGGTGCGTATGTGGGGGTACGTGTCTATAAGCAATCCTCCCAAAACAACAGAACCATTAACTATACTATGGGTGCAATGAACAGAATATAGACTCTTGTGTTGCAAGAAAAGTTCCCGATTTGCACTGAAATACTGAAGGATAGAACAGAAAGTGAAACCAAAAACCTAACCTGCCCTTGGCCTAAATAAGCAGACCTAGGCCTACGTTAGTACCTATGTGTACTATGGTAGGCCTTGGAAAAATCAGGTTTAGCTTTTGTCTTTTCTCAGGGCCATCTGTAAAATGAATAGAACAAAAGGAAAAATTTGTGCAACAATGCAGCTTTGGTTGCACCATGCACAGTGACTGGGTACTATATCATGCTGGCATGACACTTTGTGCAATGGGTGACGCCACGGGGAGCTTGGTCACTCACAGCAGAAAAGCAGACTACACCAAGATAGAGCAAATTACACCAAGATAGAGCAAATTACACCAAGATAGAGCAGATTACACCAAGATAGAGCAGATTACACCAAGATAGAGCAGACTACACCAAGATAGAGCAGACTACACCATGATAGAGCAGACCACACCATGATATTACAGTGCACACACACACCGGCATAATTCCTTGATTCTTAGAAAAGAATGAATATACTGTTCCCAGTAATTTCTCTGGGAAAAAATATATTTTCTTACTAATAAATTAATACAAAACAGAACATACGAAAATATCACTTAGTATAATATAAAAAGAAACTAATGAAGGGACATATACAAGAAAACCTTTAAATCTTGTGTGTATGTGGAGAGAAAACTGAAGGTGAGGGCGTTGTTGGTAGTGGTGTTCATGGCCGCCTGCAGGTAGACTGTATATATATATATCATGCCGGCACAAGTGGCAGACGCGGGGATGGAAGCCCCTGACCAGGTGCTCTACAACCACAACTCTCACACCGCCGTGGCTTCTACAACCAGTAACGGGTGAGTGTGTGTAATGGTGGCAGCCACAAGGTTTTTTTTTCTCTCTCTCACTCTCTCCCCTGCCTGACCTTGGCCATCCCACAGGTGTTGTAATGCCGGAACCTCACCGTGATCATGAAAGGTATGTCGCGCCTCTATATTACTCTCTAAATATTTAATTACAACTTATTTGTATCACAAATCTTACTGTATCGCAAGTTTGCTTACTGTAGGTAGTGCATGCTCATTTACCTGAGGGCGAGGAGTCACAATAACGTGGCTGAAGTATGTTGACCAGACTACACACTAGAAGGTGAAGGGACGACGACGTTTCGGTCCGTCCTGGACCATTCTTAAGTCGATTGTGTGAGTCTTGAGAATGATCTTGCACAATCGACTTGAGAATGGTCCAGGATGGACCGAAACGTTGTCGTCCCTTCGCCTTCTAGTGTGTGGTCTGGTCAACTCATTTACCTGAATTTACCCGAGGGGGCCAATCTCTCTAGTGGCCTCGACGATGACAGAAAGCCAACGGCTTTTCATAGCCCCCCCCCCACATTATTCTTGATTTTATCATGCTAAGTTTTCGACTACAACAATGTTTTGCATTTACGGCTTCGGCGGGTGGGCGGTTCCACAGGCTTATATATCTGTGGTGAAAAAGCATCTCCTGTTTTCTGTCCTACACTGTGGCTTGTTGAGCTTGAAACCATTGCTCCCTGTTTGTATTACATTTGATCTTTTAAAGAAATAGTGTGGATTACAGTCCTCCAAACTCTTCAGTAATTTAGGTTTCCTTTAGGAAAGCCGTCATGTCTGGCTTGCAGTATTTAGTACTGAACCGTTCCTGGTATGACAGTTGATTTAGTCCCTGGTGTTAAACTTTCCCCGAAGCAGACATGTCCTTCTGAAGATGTGGTCGCCATGTTTGTACAGTTGAATAACTACCTTCTTTTCCTCTGTCAAAGGTTCTAACCTAGAGAGGGTCTCTGGAGTAGTACTGTACCCCGAGCCCGGCCCACTGGTGATAACTTGGTCCAACAGGCTGTTGCTTGCAGCTGGTAGTAGTGCCCACTACAACCCGGTTGGTCAGTCACTGCTTGCAAGACCTTATTTAATTATTTCTTGAAGAAGTCTGCCTTCGTTCCGGCAATATTTCTAATGCTTGCTGAGAAGGTATTGATCACCCGTGGACCCCTGATGTTCAAGCAGTGCTATCAGATTGTGCATATGGCACCTTTACTCATCACTAGAGGGTTTGAATGCCTTTTTTATAATGATAATAACAATAATAATAATATAGGATAAAAACCCCACACTTATGTATTTGGGAAATTTATGTAAAGATTTACACCGTCTCACATTCTCCAGAGTGCTTTATCAAGGTCTGAGTGTGTGGTTACGACGAGACTTACATCTCAACGGGTTTAGAACAGTAACACACTTAAGCATTATGCAATAATAAATACAAATTCGTCCTTCACTTATGGTAGAGGAACGTCGTCTTGGAAGGATTCAATGAGATTAATCTCACAATGTTAAACTTCAAGTCATTTTAATTCAATGAGTTACAGTACATTGTTACCTTACAACGTTAATGTTATTACAAGTTATTTTTTGTTTATTAACAAGTTTAGGTATGCACAGCAAGGTACTCAGTATCCACAATATTGAAGTTCTTGAGAGGCAGGATCAAGTATAACATTTGGAGTTGAAGGCTCGTGCTCTCTGATGTTATGAAACATTGGTTTATTGAGAATTATATCAACTATATATAATATAGTATTTCCCTTGTAAATTGATACATATATGACTTTTACACTGTTTATTATTTAATAAAGAGAAAAAATTATCCCCATCTCACAAGGTTTTATTATTAACAAGCTTAGGTATACACAGCAATGTGCTGCTACCTTATTCTATATGAAAGATTACACAGTGTAGATCAAAAACTTGCTATAAGTTCATCTAATATTCCCATCTCACAGAATGGTTAGTCATACATGGAATCTGGGAGAACATGAAATGCTAGGCTGCTCTATTAGCCTCACTAGCCAAATTTTACCCAGGATAAAACATTCACTAATGTAATTACCCTTATTATACTCTCAAATTGATATAATTTATACTTTATTAATAATGAAATTTGATAATTAATTTTTTAATAATTAAATTTATTAATAATTTTATATTTATTAGTAATAAATTTATTAATAAACTTTATCGCCATGGCGTGTTTGAATTACCGACACGAGAAGTATGATGGGTTCAAGAACTGGACCACAATAATACAGTAAACTAATGAATTACAAGTTTCGGTACCTAAGCTTATCATGCACCCTGGACACACCATTCAGTGGGCAGCAATATCATCATCATAATAATAATGCAGAAAGAAGTCACATTAACAGAGATGTATCAATGAGGAAATCAGTCAGTATAGTGTAGTGGTACAAAGTGTTGCATGGGAGTGAGCAGCGCATAGGTTCGAATCCTGCTCGTGGCGCCTACTGTTTTTTCCAATAATAATAATAATAATGAGAACATTTACTAGGATTATGGGTGGGGGCGAAGCTACAAGTCCGGCATTATAAGTTCAGGCGAGGAGTCTGAATCGACTTGACACACAATCGACTTGAGAAATGGTCCAGGACGGACCGAAACGTCGCCGTCCCTTCACTTTCTAGTGTGTGGTCTGGTCAACATTATAAGTTCCTTTCTCTACCACTAGACCACCCCAGACTTGCTAAAGTCATACAGCCGGATTTCTAATGAAATCACAGGAAGTCTAGTGAAATTACTGAAGCCAGTTCATGTTTTTTACGTATTCAAAAATTCAAAATTCAAAGTATGAGCCACAAGCACTCGGGTGGAAGGGTAGAGTGATCCCACACCTTACACTCCAACTTCACAAACACACAAATCACATTAACGTGATATATATCAATGAAAATCATTGAGAAACTCCGTAGGAGCCGTGATGTGGGTTCGAATCTATGCGGTGGGTGTTCCCACACACACGCCCTGGTCAACTAGACCAAGACATGGTTTAAGGATTGCAACCTGGAGTTCTGAACTCTTCAGTAGTTCATCCTCTACTGTTCCGGCTTAAGTAGAAGCCTCAAGTTCAAGTTCAAGTATGTTTATTGAGACAAGAAAGAAATACATCTCAAAGGGATAGAGTAGGCAGTCTCCGTGGTGTAGTGGTAAGACACTCGCCTGGCGTTCCGCGAGCGCTATGTCATGGGTTCGTATCCTGGCCGGGGAGGATTTACTGGGCGCAATTCCTTAACTGTAGCCTCTGTTTAACGCAACAGTAAAATGTGTACTTGGATGAAAAAACGATTCTTCGCGGCAGGGGATCGTATTCCAGGGACCATAGGATTAAGGACTTGCCCGAAACGCTACGCGTACTAGTGGCTGTACAAGAATGTAACAACTCTTGTATATATCTCAAAAAAAAAAAAAAAAAAAAAAAAAAAAAAAAAGTAGCTTAGGCTATTTCTACCCTCCTGTAGTAGCTTAGGCTATTTCTACCCTCCTGTAGAAGCCTCAGGAAATCTTTGTGTGTTCAGTAGAACTCCAGGTTGCAATCTTTATACTATCATGAAGATGGCATTTGAAACAATGTTCAATTATAGGATGTTAACTCCTGAATTCATAGCCGTATGCTGCTAGTTTCTGCCCGAGACGCTAAGCTTGATCGTGGCTTTACAACAACTCTTAAATATATAAATAAAAAACTCTTGTAGATATAAACATAAACAAATAAATATACAAGAAGGTACACTGGATTGTGAGGGCTCATAATATTAGTGTTTGAGTGTGTTACATTCTTGCGCAGAAACTGGCACAGCGTTTCGGACAGGTTCTTAAGCTAACTGTTAAAAGTAAAAGTGACAATAGATACATTGTGGCAGAATTTGAGTTCAACATGACTACAATACGCAATGGTAGCATTCGTTATACTGTTGAAGTTGCACCAGTATAATCAGTATGTACTAAACATTGTACTACAACAAACGTATGTACATTTAGTTGTATGTACTAAAATTGTCGAAAGTATTAATATTGTGGAAGTTGGTAGTACAAGATAGTGTGAGTTTGGAGCACAAGGTAGGACACTATGAGGATGAAATTAGGTACTTTTTGGTTTTACGTTTGAATAAGGCATAGATTGGACAATTTTTTAATTCAATAGGGAGCTAGTTCCATGGACTGGGTCCTTTTATTCGTAAGAAGTGTTTGCACAGATTTAGTCTGACTCTGAGGATACCAGAGATATTGATTTCTGGTGTGGTGCTCACGGGTTCTCTTACAGCTACCATGGAAAAGTTTCAAATCAAGATTAGCATTTAGGAACAAGGTTTTGTACATGTAAATAGCACAAGAGAATGTGTGGGGTGAGTGTATGTTTAGCATGTTAAGGGACTTAAACAGAGGGGCTGTGTGTTGTCTGAAGATAGTTTGTTATTGTTCTGGTAGCAAATGTTTGCTGGGTGATGATGGGCTTGAGGTAATTTGCATCCTTATAAATAATAAATAATCCTTATTTAATGAGGCTCTCGAGTTACGTCCACTCCTGGGTCTTTTCTCTAGTTATTGCTGGGGGATAGTTGGGACGGGGGTTAGTTTCCCTTCATTGTGTACTGTCCTTTTGCTCTCCTGCTACCTGTTCCGATTTTCCTTCACAGTGCACTTGCTGCTGTTAAAATCCAGCAGCTATTTCTCTATCCAATTCTGCAACTTATTTAAGTCAGTTTGGATAATCCTGCAATCCTCATCTGTCTACACTCTTCTCATTATTTTTGCATTGTTTGCGAACATAAACAATTTACTCAAAGGAAATGTAGATGTTTATCTCTCAGAATGTTTGGTAATATGTTTATTGTTTGTGATGTGTGTCTATGTATGTATTAACACGATGTACTGAACGGGGTGAGAATAGCTTGAGCTACCTCATCCCTTTGTGTGTATTTTACTTCAATAAACTTATTTCAATTTCAATTTCAATTCAATTTACTCAACTCCTGTACATTTGTCATTAAAGAGAAATAGTATGGGGGGTTCCCAGCACCGATTCTTGAGGTGTGTGTATGGGGAAGATGTGTAGATTACATGGCACGGTGTTATATTAAATGTTATATATAAATGAGCTGTACTTGGGTGGGTGGGGGTGTCCTAACATTGATATAATCAATTGACATAATGCTGGAACTCTGCATCACTGTCATCCACAACGCTAGAAGCACCGATAAACCTCATTATTCATATATGATGCCATAGACATTATGGTCTATATTGAAGTGTGAACGGAGCCGAGTGGTACTCCCATGACTAGTTACTCTACACTCTCCCTGCAGGGATGGAGCGGCGGCGCCCATGCTGGAGGAGGAGCCCCGACCAGTGCTGGAGACCCCGTGGGAGAGGCGGGCCCGGCGACGCTCCCACTATGTCGTCTACGTCACTACTTTTGTCATGTCCATTGGCTTTTCTATAGTGTTGACTGGCGTGTGGCCTTATCTGCAGCAGGTAGGTCACTCCCCCGTGATGGCTCGCGTACTTGCCAACGTCTCCATAACACTATTCTACTATTCTTAAGAACATAAGAACAAAGGTAACTGCAGATCGAAGGCCTATTGGCCCATACGAGGCAGCTCCTGTTTATAACCGCCCAATCCCACTCATATACATGTCCAACCCACGCTTGAAACAATCGAGGGACCCCACCTATTCCAGTATTCTATACTATTCACAGCTGAGCCTACTGGGCTCTATCATATCTACATTTGAAACTGAGTATGGAGTCAGCCTCCACCACATCACTGCCTAATGCATTCCATTTGTTAACTACTCTGACACTGAAAAAGTTCTTTCTAACGTCCCTGTGGCTCATTTGGGTACTTAGTTTCCACCAGTGTCCCCTTGTTCGACTATGGGGGCCTGTCGGCTGAGTGGACAGCGCTCAGGATTCGTAGTCCTAAGGGTCCGGGTTCTATCCCCGGCGGCGGCGGAAACAAATGGACAGAGTTTCTTTCACCCTGATGCCCCTGTTCATCAAGCAGTAAATAGGTACCCGGGAGTTAGACAGCTGCTACGGGCTGCTTCCTGGGGATGTGTAAAAAAATAGAGGCCTGGTCGAGGACCGGGCCGCGGGGACGCTAAGCCCCGAAATCATCTCAACATATCAAAGATGAACTTGATGGCCCTGTTCACCTAGCAGTAAATAAGTACCTGGGAGTTAGACAGCAGCTACGGGCTGCTTCCTGGGTGTGTGTGTGCGAAAAAAAATCAGTTGATTGACAGTTGAGAGGCGGGACCAAAGAGCTCCCGCAAGCTCAACTAGGTGAGTACTGTGCAACAGTAGCAATGCTTGGAGAGAAGCGTGCACCATGTGCATGTGTGGCGTGCATGTGTGGCGTGCATGTGTGGCGTGCATGTGTGGAGTGCATGTGTGGAGTGCATGTGTGGAGTGCATGTGTGGAGTGCATGTGTGGAGTGCATATGTGGTAGGCAACACCTTTCTTTGAGAATTTCGATGTTAAGCTATTCATAATCTTAAAAAGGAATTCCTGAAGTACAGGGAGCTTCGACATCAGTGAGGTAGTATAATAGTTTAGTAGTCATCTTGTGGGGACAGGTATAGGCTGTATGTTTTACCTTAGCTGAATTTATAGCATATACGGTTTCAGCGAATGCGCGGTTCCATGGGTTTATAACCCTGTGGGTGAAACAGTATCTCCTGTTCTCAGTAAATATGTTTATGTAAAATACGTATATGTAAAAATATGTAAAATAAGATGGAACAGCTGAGCCTCGCCAGGAGGCAACCCTCCACAACGCGCCCACTAACATCCCTTTGTGTGTAGTTATAGCTCAATAAACTGATTTCAAATTCAAAAACTCCCGGATATTTATTTTACTGCTAAGTGAACAGAGGCATTAGGTGATAGGAAACGTGCCTATTACCATTTTTATACCGCCGAAGATATGAACGAGGGATTCATGATTGTGACTTGAGAACGAACCCAACTGTACTACCAAACCCCCCCCCCCCCCTCCCCCTCCCCCTCCCCCTCCCCCTCCAAGGCATGTCGGTTATATATATATATATATATGTCGTACCTAGTAGCCAGAACTCACTTTTTGGCCTACTATTCAAGGCCCGATTTGCCTAATAAGCCAAGTTTTCCTGAATTAATATATTTTTTCTAATTTTTTTCTTATGAAATGATAAAGCTACCCATTTCATTATGTATGAGGTCAATTTTTTTTTATTGGAGTTAAAATTAACGTAGATATATGACCGAACCTAACCAACCCTACCTAACCTAACCTAACCTATCTTTATAGGTTAGGTTTGGTTAGGTAGCCGAAAAAGTTAGGTTAGGTTAGGTTAGGTAGGTTAGGTAGTCGAAAAACAATTAATTCATGAAAACTTGGCTTATTAGGCAAATCGGGCCTTGCATAGTTGGCTGAGAAGTGCGTTCTGGCTACTAGGTACGACATATATATATATATATATATATATATATATATATATATATATATATGTCGTACCTAGTAGCCAGAACTCACTTCTCAGCCTACTATTCAAGGCACGATTTGCCTAATAAGCCAAGTTTTCCTGAATTAATATATTTACTATAATTTTTTTCTTATGAAATGATAAAGCAACCCTTTTCTCTATGTATGAGGTCAATTTTTTTTTATTGGAGTTAAAATTAACGTAGATATATGACCGAACCTAACCAACCCTACCTAACCTAACTTAACCTATATTTATATGTAAGGTTAGGTTAGGTAGCCAAAAAAAGCTAGGTTAGGTTAGGTTAGGTAGGTTAGGTAGACGAAAAAACATTAATTCATGAAAACTTGGCTTATTAGGCAAATCGGGCCTTGAATAGTAGGCTGAGAAGTGCGTTCTGGCTATTAGGTACGACATATATATATATATATATATATATATATATATATATGTGTCGTACCTAGTAGCCAGAACGCACTTCTCAGCCTTCAATGCAAGGCCCGATTTGCCTAATAAGCCAAGTTTTCATGAATTAATATAATTTCTCAAATTTTGTTCTTATGAAATGATAAAGCTACGCATTTCATTATGTATGAGATAATTTTTTTTTTATTGGAGTTAAAATTAACGTAGATATATGACCGAACCTAACCAACCCTAAATAACCTAACCTAACCTATCTTAATAGGTTAGGTTAGGTTAGGTGGCCGAAGAGGTTATGTTAGGTTAGGTTAGGTAGGTTAAGTAGTCGAAAAACAATTAATTCATGAAAACTAGGCTTATTAGGCAAATCGGGCCTTGCATAGTAGGCAGAGAAGTGCGTTCTGGCTACTAGGTACGACATATATATATATATATATATATATATATATATATATATATATATATATATATATATATATATATATATATATATATATATATATATATATATATATATATATATATATATATATATATATATATATATATATATATATATATATATATATATATATATATATATAAAAAACATGATCCAGTTGATGATAAGTCTATTCACAGCTTCTCTGTGTGTATGTAGCTAACTTTCATGCCGTCTATTGCATAGAGCAATTGCAAAAGCTTCCTAGTGACTGCTTGGCTTACCACCCGTGTTGAACTTTGTAAATATTGACCACTAACTACAGCTGCAGACATACCTGGACTATTTGTTTTTACACATTAGCCCTCTGACGCACACAACAGCTGCTCTGCTCTACCCAAGATCAATATTATTTGTGAAGAAACGAGGCTTTTATTAGCAAGGGTTCGTAAGTGGTTACTATGAAAATAGATAAAGATGCAATAAAAATAGAGAACACTTAATGTTCAGTGTATAATTGTTGACCAGACCACACTGGAAAGTGAAAGGACGACGACGTTTCGGTCCGTCCTGGACCATTCACAATCGACTTGAGAATGATCCAGGACGGACTGAAACGTCGTCGTCGTCCCTTCACTTTCTAGTGTGAGGTTTGGTCAACATATTTCAGCCACGTTATTGTGACTCCTCATCTTCAATGTATAATTATTATGACTTTCAAATTATTTTAATATTGTTTTATTTTACTATTGAACAAGATAAATGCTAGAATATTTAAATTATTAGTGATGGTGTTAGAGAAATATCTCTTCTAGAGGAGCCCCTTCTGTCTTCCTGAAGCTACTGTATACTGATATGGGACCAACTACTGATATGGGACTTTGTCGCATCGGCCGTGGAGTTCCGTAGGCGTGCTGGGGACCAGCACCAGAACCTGGCTCACTCAGAGAGGCCCAGGGAGTGGTGACATTTATTTTCGTCACCTCACCGGGGAAGGAAGGTATCCAGAAAGCAAGACAAAACAAACCACAGCTGGCTTAAAAAAGAAATTGAAGCCGCGAAACTCGCCAAAAAACTCCTACAGCTATGTAAACCTGCCCGTCCTCATAAACAAAGACCCAAAAGTGATTCCATGCACCCGCCAAACCCCCTGTTTATGAATGAAAAATGGTTTACACACGACTTACAACTGATTTCGTTCGAACACTTCCGGAACAAGAGCTTCACTGACAAATTTAGTTCGAACCACAACGCTGTAAATGCTTCACCCACATACTACAAATACAAATAATCGCCAACAGAACTTAAACCCGTAACCTAACCTATGCCTATATTTGCACAAATATGCTAATATATTATAATATTAATTTATATTTGAGAATTGTTGTTGTTAAAGATTCGCTACCTGGAACAAAAAGTCCCAAGCAGTACGGGCTATGGTGAGCCCGTAGTTGTATTTAAGAAAATTCCTGTTTTGATTGAACAACATGTAAAAGTTTATGAATGCGTCTGTGGGGTCGACCGCTGGATGTAATGGACTTTGTCTGAGGACGGGTTACACAACTGATGACGTTCGAACATTTCCGGAACATGTGCTTCGCTGACTTCTGTTCGAACCACAACGCTGTAAATGCTTTACCCACGTACTACAAATACAAATAATCGCCAACAGAACCAAAACACCTAACCTAACCAGTGCCTAAATATGCACAGTATGCTAATATTTAACAATATTAATTTATATTTTAAAAACTTTCTATTTTGGATGAACAGCATGTTAAAATTGATGAATGCGTCTTTGGGGTCGACCGCTGAATGGAATGGACTTGGTCTGAGAATGGGTTGATGTAAACAATGGAATTCTCCCTGAACTAGTGTGTTTCTTCGCCCCGCCTCGCCCACTCATATGGAGGGAGTGAGGAGGTAGCTGACCGCCAGTCCTTTGTTCTGGTGCAGATGCACTGTACCAGGATACCTCTCGTCACTGCTTTCTCCAGCTAAGTGGTGACGTTTGTCTTTGGTGGTATTTCCTCTACACTGCGGTGTATCTTGAGCCCAGTTTTGAATGATCTTGGAGATGCATATGTGCAGGGTTACCTTCCCTGTGTGATCCCTAGTGCTGCCCTTGCATTGTCAGGGTTATATTTCCCTGGAGTGTTCGGGAGTCACTCCCTTAGAGGTCTTCCTAACTTGTGGTAGCCTTCGCCCATGGTGAGTTGGGTGTCTTAGAATGTTCCTGTCTTGAATCAACTTTGAACCAGGAGCGACTTTGGCTGGCTGGGCGCATTGGCGGGTTGTATGCTTCACTCACCGACCGAGGACGACCTTCACGGCTGCGTGACCTATAGGCTGTGTCGTCTTCCTTTTAGGTCCGGCATAGCGATCCCACTGGCTGGGTGTCCTGATTGGGTTTACCCTTCAAGCCCTGGAAATCCCTTGTGGGTTCAGTGGTCCTATGCATATTTACTTCCCCAACCCTGCTCTTGCATTGTACGAGGTTGAGGATTGCTTGTCATCCGTGTCATGTAGCGCCGTTCATCCCTCTGCCTGTCATGCTGCCTACTGAATCAGTGACACCTTCGACCCTGAGTCCTGTGGGGTGACTTTCCCCCATGTAACTCATGGGGAATATTATTTCTGTATATTTATCACCATCTTTATGGGGAGCAAGTGGCTTCTTTGCTGGTGTCCCACCTGCATTTCTGTTCCTCTTCTCGGTGACAGTAGGAGTTCGTGGCGCTCCTTTTGCCATTACCTTTCCCTTCGTTGTCGTTCTTCAGTTTCTGAGTGTATGATGCTCTCCCTCTTTCTTGTTTTTTTCTTGATTGACATCTCTTGCTGAATACTGTCAACTCCTGTTGTGTGATTCTGGTGGAGCATCTGCGGCTTGAGTTTGGGGTTGATACTATCTCTCCTCAATTTCAAGAAATCAAAATTAAAATATTTATTCAGGTTAAAGTACATACATAGAAGATGAGTAACAAACATAATGTTGAATTTATAGATAGAGCCAGTACATACAATACCTAAAGCCACTAATGTGCACGGCGTTTCAGGCAAGGTGAGGGGGGAAAAACACTTAGACTAAAGCTTAATATTAATTGAGATTAAAGTATAAATTGTGCAGAAAAAGGAGAAAAGGGGGGGGGGAAACAGGCAGAAATCAGCAATTATACAACCTAGTCAACAAACAGTATTGAATTGAAATTGAAATAATTTTATTGAGGTAAAATACACACAAAGGGATGAGGTAGGTCAAGCTATTCTCACCCCGTTCAGTACATCGTGTTAATACATACATAGACACACATCACAAACAATAAACATATTACTGAACATTCTGAGAGATAAACATATACATTTCCTCCTTTACACAAGTAGTATGGTATCAGACGTACACACAAATACTTTTATGACCTAGGTATACTGTATAGACAATTTGCAAGAGATACAAACAGTATTGTTTGAAAATAGCAAGACATGGGTTGACAATTTGGGGGTAAGGTAGGTTACATGGAGTTCATTACGTAGTACTTAGTTTTTCTCTTAAACTGGTAGAGAATCACTATAGCCGGCGGGACCAGGAGCAGAAGCACTGCAATTCTTCTTGGCCTGAAAAATTTCCTGTGATGTTATAGGCTTCCCGAGGTCACTCACTAAAGGTGCCGGGGTAAAGGGCCGGTTGTCAGGTTCAAACGGCCTCGAGAACAGACCCTCCCAGAAGGGAAAGAACCTATCTGCTCCTACCACTGTGGGCGCCACCTTCCAGCCTTTAACATGATTGGGGAGGTCATTCCACATTCTGGCTCCCTTGATTTGTAGAGCATTTCTAGTTTGGTTAAGACGCACTCTTGGAATATCAAATGGGTATTTGTTTCTGGTTGGTACCCATGGGTTCTGCAACCTTCTAGGAAGCGTTTAAGGTCTGGATTGACATTTCGCCCACTGTCTCGTGTATTGCTTCACCTCCGGCTGCTTATGCACCACTGGAGTCTCCGAACGATATTCTTGTTTTTTCTCTGCAGTTCTTTAGGTCCTTATTTTTGGTTTCGTTTGCATCTGGTTGTCAGGTTGGAGAGCTCGATGCTCTCTTATGGAGGTGGGGTTTTTGTTCTTTTGGCCCTAGTGGGCGTTTTGTCAGTTTTCAGCCAGCTCTTCCTTTTCTGGTGAAGAACAAGTCAGTTGGCGTCCGGAAGGTCTTTGGCCATTGATGCTTGGATGGTTTGGCCTGGGGTGCATCATGTGCACGTGTCTAGTGCCGGCTCTCCGCTGCTACCTTTGTGCCACTGGTTCTCCTTCAGTGGATGTCTTATATGTTGCTCCTCTTTCCTTGGCCCCCTGTTCTGATGTTCATCAGAACAGGGGAGGGGGGATGTATTTTCTGAATGTTCCTGGGCCTCGGCGCCCTTTTGTGGCTATGGATCGTGTCTCAGCTGAGAGTCTCATCTTCGTCATGTATCCTGCAGTGCTCCCTCCTCTCTGGTGTGTTCCCATATGTTTTCCTTCTCTGTGGGTAGTTAGCTTCAGGGATCCACAATTAAGGGACTCCCCCAGAAAACTAGCATTAAATATAATGAAATACCAGTTCCTGGGTGAGCCCCAGTGACTCTCTGATCCTTCCAGATCATTGGGTAGATGCCTACATCTGCCCTAGAACTACGGACTGCAATGCCGACTGGCAGGAGGTGGGGTAACCCGTCCTCAGACAAAGTCCATTCTGTCTAGCGGTCGACCCCAAAGACGCATTCATCAATTTTAACATTCTGTTCATTCAAAATAAAAATTTATCGAATATAAATTAATATTGTTATATATTAGTAAACTGTACATATTTAAGCATTGGTTAGGTTAGGTGTTTAGGTTCTGTTGGCGATTATTTGTATTTGTAGTACGTGGGTGAAGCATTTATAGCGTTGTGATTCGAACAAAACTCGTCAGTGAAGCACTTGTTCCGGATATGTTCGAATGTCAGCAGTTGTGAGTCGTGTGTAAACCGCTTTTCATTCATAAACAGGGGGTTTGGCGGGTGCATGGAATCACTTTTGGATCTTTGTTTGGAGGACGGGCTGAATTTACAGCGTTGTGGTTCGAACAAAAGTTGTCAGCGAAGCACTTGTTCCGGAAGAGTTCAGACTTTATCAGTTGTGAGTCGTGTGTAAACCTTTTTCATTCATAAACAGGGAGGGGGGGGGGTTGGCGGGTGGAGACTTTGGTCTATGAGGACAGGCTATTTACTTCCTTTGGGAACTTTGTTCCCAAATAAAGGTATTGTTTGGCCCTTTATTTGTTGGGGACAGGAGTTCTTTAGGTAGGTTTTGTGGCTTCGGTATCTTCTTGGAGCCGGCAGTGGTTTATTTTGATTCGCTAACTTTCTGAGTGCCTTCCCTGGTTAGATGGCGAAAATAAATATCAGCGCTCCCTGCGCCACTTTGGGCCAGGTTCTGGCACTGGTCCCTGGTACGCCTGCATGTAGATCTACAGCCGATGCGACCTAGTACTGTAGTTAGTACCATATCAGTATATAGTAGCTTCAAGAAGCCACCACGGCTCACTCAGAAATTAGCTTTTGATTACAATCAACTCAGTTTATTTTTTTTTTCTGGCTGGGGATTTAGCTTGACCCTGGTGTGTCGAAGGAGTACCTGGGATGGGTAATTGCTGCCAACCCTCTGGGACAGATGCTGGCCTCCCCCTTATTGGGCTTCTGGGGCAACAAGGCTAAATCCAACAGGTGAGGACGAGACACACACACAGGTAAGAATGAATAGAAGGTTGAAAACAGCAACAAACAGAGGGGAAGAGAAGAGTGGGAGAGAGAGGGATGAGGTGAGGAAGGAAGAAGTATGAGAGAAAAGGCAAGTGAAGGAGAAAAACATTGCAGGATGGCCTGTACAAGTTGCATTAGCTCTTCTGGTTGCATCTGGTCGACGAGTGGATGTATGGCCAGTGGTCACACGATCCACCTGGAGGCTGCTGGCTAACGGAACGCACTGCCCTTTGAGTCATCTGGCATTCCTCTTCAACGGCCCCTCTTTTTTAACACCTGATGTCCCTATCCCTTGGGATCACAGGAAAATTGATAGATGTTTTTTTGTTACCGTTTGTGGCTGGTTCTTTGGGCGGGAAGTTGGTGTCTGGCGCCTGCTTGACCGAGAGGTATCAGAGGTTGGTGGGTCTTGGTGGGCTCCTGGTGTGCCCACTGGGTTTATAACTCTGTGGGTGAAAAAGCTTCTTCTGTTTTCAGTCTTACACAGTGGCTTGTTGAGCCTGAAACCGTTGCCCCTTGTTTGTATTACATCTGACCTTTTGAACAACATCCTCCAAGTTGTTTACTATTTTGAACGTTTCGGTGAGATAAATTAATAATTCATTGTGGCGGGAGACAGGAAGCCAGTTTATACATACAGTACATGTTAGGCTTTTATTGAGGTCCCCCCAAGAGTCGAATTACTGATCCTCCCCAATATGCAACCCCACAACAAGCTGACTTACTCCTGGCTACCTATTTACTGCTAAGTAAACAGGAGCAGTAGATGATAGGAAACGCGCCCAATCATTTGTCCTAGGCAGGATTGGAACCCGGAATTCTCGATTCAAATCAAATCAAATCAAATCAAATGTTTATTTAGGTAAAGTACATACATACAAGAGATTTTACAAAGAGTGATGGATTTATAGATAGGGCTAGTACATACAATGCCTAATTTGCCTTGATCCTTTCCAACTGTACTTTAAAAGTTAACAGTTTTGGTATTTACGGCTTCGGTGGGTAGGCGGTTCCGTGGGTTTATGTCCCTGTGAGCGAAAAAGCATATCTCCTGTTCCGAGTCCTACATTGTGACTTGTTGAGCTCCGGTTCACAGGAACGGCGGGGTTTAGTTTAGGTCATTTATTATGCACCCCATACCCATCTTGTGGTCGGTAGTGGATAGGGTTACTGAGGCACATAATGGACTCAGGGACTGAACCCCACAATTCATTTAGCTAAGCAAGTTACAATCTTGGTGAGCTAGTTACAAAATTCAGTACAAGTCGTCACATTATCAATGGGTTCGAGATCGACCACAAGTACAGTTTTTAAATTAAGCAACTGACATATGTGGAGAGCTAGTGTCACAATTGATATGTCTGTCCTGCACACCGCCCCCCATCCAGTGGGCAGCGGTGGATAGGTTACAATCACCTAGTTACTACCTACAGTTAGCAAACTGGGGACATTTCTGGTTGCAGATCATTTTGAATGAAATATTTACACATCTCTGGAACATTTGTTATAGAATTGTCTCTGAATTAGATGTGTGAACGAACGTTCCCGACGTCAACGTTCCCGACGTGCACTGTGCTGTGGCTGCCCCTAGTCCTACAACAACAACAACAGCATCAGGGAGTGCCCAGGGCACAGCACCTGGCACAGGAGCGGGACAAATAGTACTGGCTATAGTGAGTCCGTAGTGGACTTACTTGGCACAGGAGCGGTGCTGTGTGCACTGGACTCCGATCTGCATACGACGGCATATATTGATTGATTGATGAAGATTAAGCCACCCAAAAGGTGGCACGGGCATGAATAGCCCGTAAGGGGTGGCCCTTTTTTTTTTTTTTTTTTGATATATATACAAGAGTTGTTACATTCTTGTACAGCCACTAGTACGCGTAGCGTTTCGGGCAAGTCCTTAATCCTATGGTCCCTGGAATACGATCCCCTGCCGCGAAGAATCGTTTTTTCATCCAAGTACACATTTTACTGTTGCGTTAAACAGAGGCTACAGTTAAGGAATTGCGCCCAGTAAATCCTCCCCGGTCAGGATACGAACCCATGATATAGCGCTCGCGGAACGCCAGGCGAGTGTCTTACCACTACACCACGGAGACTGCTAAAGCCTTTTGAGCCATTACCAGTATCATTAGATGATACTGGAGACCTGTGGAGGTGCGACTGCACCCTGTGTGACGGGAGATGTCTCCCGACGACGGCATATATTACACTAGACTTATATTATACTAGGGACCCAGTAGTACAGTCGGGTTCGTTCGTGATTCGCAATTGAGAATTCCAGGTTCGAGTCCTGGGTGGGACAAATGGTTGAGCACCTTTCCTTTCACCTAATGCATCTGTTCACCTAGCAGTAAGCAGGTACCCAGGAGCTAGTCAGCTTGTGTAGTTGCATCTTGGGTGGGATCAGTAATTCGACCTGGGGGAGGGGGGACCTCAATATAAGCCTAATGTGTATGAATACACTCTGGCTGCCTGACCCCAACACACTTAATTATATTAAATATGGAAGTCAGAACCAGCATGGAATTCATATAAAATCTCATGAATATTGAGAACCAGAAGTTTGTTATAAGAATGGCCTATGAGGTAAAGAACCAGAGTTAAGAGCACAGCTTAAGAGAGTAGGACATTTTGGGTGTATCAGTGTTTTACTCAGAAAGGCACTCCAGGTGTGACTGGAATTATACTCATTATATAAAATAATATATGATGTGTAATTGTTACGGTGACTGAGTTACGGGGTTAAGTGGAGCAAGCTGCACTCCTCTACATGCACACTTGCTTTTGTCCCAAGGTACTGGCCTTGAGCAGGCAATTTGCATTGGGGCATCACAGATCACATAGCACTCCCATGTTCCCATTTCAATTGGGTGCACACTAAGCTACTCAATTATAACTACTTTGCTTGTTACACCTCAATATTGTAACATGCAGTTGCCTTGCTCTGATTTCATATGACCCCATAAAGTAGCATTTTAAAAAATAGGAGTAGTTTTACTGTTACCCTGAGGAACTCCTATAGTTAAAAGCCCTGTAATTTAACAGGGCTGAAGTTTAAAATATGCATGAGGTTATTTTATAAATAATAATTTTATATTCATAAAGTATACACAGTATAAATTTATATAAAAAAAAGTTTCAAAAACCGTTGGCATTCTTTCTGAGATCAGATATTATGTACCTCGCCCTGCCCTGGTGACACACTATTACTCTCTCATCTATCCTTATCTCAACTATGGTATTTGTGCTTGGGGTTCTACTACCCAAAATCATTTACGTTCTCTAATTACTCAACACAAAGCTGCTATTAGGACAATTTCTAACTCTGGCCCCAGACATCACTCGGTACCCTTACTCAAATCTCTGAATATGTTAGATATTAAGTCCCTGCACATCCTCTCATGTGTATTTTATATATATAAAATGCTGAACTGTAATGTCAATTCTGACCTTAAAAGCTTCCTAGAAGGTTGTAACAGATCCCATGAGCACCACACCAGAAACAAATACCTATTTGATATTCCAAGAGTATTGATATTCGACAAATCAAGGGACCTCGAATGTGGAATGACCTTCCCAATTATGTTAAAGACTGTAGCTCTCCCAACCAGCTTAAGATAAAAACTAAGTACTACCTAATTAACTCAATGTAACCTACCTCACCCCCAAAATGTCATCCCATGTCTATTATTTTAAACAATGCTGTTTGTTGACCAAATTGTATTTTTTATTTTTTTTCTGCTATGTTCCCCCCCCCCTTCTTTTTTTCCATTTTTTCTTATTTTTTCTCAACACAATTTATACTTTAATCTCACTTAGTATTAAGTTTTAGTCCTAGTGTTTTTCCTGCCCGAAACGCTTTGCGTAATAGTGGCTTTAGGCATTGTATGTACTAGCTCTATCTATAAATCTATCAACTTTTGTATCTTACCTTGTATGTATGCACTTTACCTGAATAAATATTTGTATTTGTATACATGCATAAGAACATAATACAGAAGTATATTTGAAGGTACAGGCATTGTTTATGCAACTAATATGCAAAGCATTTCAGCCAAAACTTAGAATAATTGCAAAAATTTCAGATTTTTGCTGGGTGATGATGGACTTGAGGAAGTTTGCTGTGGTTGAACCCTATGCACAGATACCATATGTAAGATAGGAATAGATTAGCACATAGTATAGTGAGAGGAGAGCAGAGTTAGGTACATAATATCTGATTTTAGAGAGTATACCAACTGTTATAATAGGGGTAAACTTATTACTAACTAATAAGTAAGCTAACACATTTTTATCATGCATTTGGTAAAAATAGATAAAACAATGTATATATATATTTTCAGAGGCTCCTTCCTGCTGACTTTGATTACCTTTACCATAGGAAATGGATTTTATGCCATACTGAGTGTATTTGGATCTGCAGCACTGACTGTCATGATCTTGTCACGCTTTCTTGTAGGAATCAGCTCTGGTAAGTTACTTCTTTACTTGAAACAGCTAAATGTTTAGATATTAATCTAGATTATGGCCATGTTAAGATCATCCATTAGCTTGTTTGATGCATTTTGAGGAAAAAAACACTCATTAATTTATGAAAAATATTTACCTTTACTTTTTAGAACTCTGGTTCGGTAGTTGTTGAGTCATTGTGTGGTTTTTCATTTATGCTGGGGTTCCCATAGTGAGACTTCAACTGTTCATTGCCATCTGTTGATTTCCTCCACATGGTTCCCTCTGTCTCTCTCCCTCTCATCTCAACATTAAATTTTGCAGGGGTAAACTATCATGGTAATAAATAAAAGCTTCCATGTCAAATTAGTTGACAGAACTTTTGTACTTTTCTGTGGGGACCACCTACTGCATCTCAGAGCTTACCCGGCTGATATGTATGTACTGTATTAGACCATGGCATCAGTCGATTGGAGTTCTATGCCTACCGGGGACCATGAACCCCTCAGAGTGGCTAGGGAAGCATTGGACCAAGGTTGGCACCCAGAAAGATAGTCATAACAAAACAAACCCCACATAGAAAAAGTTGCCACCTAAAAGCCAAACAGGGAAGCAGAACTTCCAAACTAAAACAAGCAAAAGTCACTAACGCCGTTGTGTCAATCGTCTATGCAGGCGCCCGCCCCTCTTCCCCCCACGCGCGCGCCAGCCGCTCCAGCTCATTTATGTTCTCTCAGCTGATTTATGCTGTGTGTGATGCACAGGCCAGGAGTAATTCATCAGCCCGGGCTGCATGGGTTTAGGGCCACCTTCCCTAACCCTTGGGAGGCAGCTGCCTTAATAGCCTTCAACACCTTCAGACACAATAAATAAATAGATTAAAAAATAATAATTTTGTCTTATAAAAGTGTTCATTTGTGTTCTCTGATAAAAATAATAAAGCAGAAGAAAAAAAACGGAAAAAATAATAAAAAAATCGTAGCTGACATAATTTGGCCGCAATAGGGCAGGGAAGTCTGGCAAAATTGAGGTGTTGACAGAGTAAGCGTCCTGTGGCGGTCTGCTCCACCTGCGCTGACAGGCGGGAGTTGCCACAAAGATATTATTACCTAATTATTTCAATGTGTCTGATTTATATTTTTTTTTTTTTTTTCAATAATATTATTCAATAGTATTCACTTAATTGTATTCACCTAGGTGTGCTTGCACAGGTTGAGCTCTGCTCTTTCGGTCCGTCTCTCGACTGTCAATCGATCAACTGTTACTACTTATTTACCCCCCCCAACACACAAACACACACCCAGGAAGCAACTCGTAACAGCTGTCTAACTCCCAGGTACCTATTTACTGCTAGGTAACAGGGACATCAGGGGTGAAAGAAACTGCCCATTTTGTTTTTGCCATCACTGGGGATCAAACCCCGGACCCTAGGATTATGAGTCCAGAGTGCTGTCTAATCAGCTATCAGGCCTCCCTTCCACTCAGGCCCCCTGATAGTGTGTAGTGTGATATATTTATATAATAAAATGTGTGAACCAACTGTACAACTAAGCTGGTGTGGTGTCCAAACAACATAGTGGCCACAAAAAACTGCATGACAAGTGACACAGCAGCTAGCATATGACACCACCGCCCTCACTAAAAGGACTCCTCCCAACATACTCCTTTTACTGTTACTGTATTACACTATATACACACATGTTATATATAGGTATCTACATATGTGTTTACCATAGCAAACCATTAAGCGGGTATGATGAGTCCAGACAATAACAGGTGACCACACACAGTCAGCAGACTATTTATTTATTTATTTACAATATTTATTTATTTATTTATTTATTTATTTATATACAAGAAGGTACATTGGGTTTTTGAGGATACATTGTGGTGGATAATTGATTAATTGATAATTAATTGATAAGTCCACGTATGGATGTCAACCAATAAACTAACACTTAACATAGAAAAGACCTACAGTACTACATCTTATTTGGAAGCAAATCAACAAATGCAATTCAGCTTCAGATAGACAATGTTACATCAGTAATAAAAATGATGGGAAGTTTCTTGGCCTATTCCTAGACAAGAGACTCAACCTCAGCACCCACATACAACACATAACTAAGAAAGTTTCTAAAAAAGTTGGTATACTCTCCAAAATCAGATATTATGTACCTAACTCTGCTCTCATCTCACTATATTATGCACTAATCTATCCCTATCTCGATTATGGTATCTGTGCATGGGATTCAACCACTGCAAACCACCTCAGGTTCATCATCACCCAGCAAAAATCTGCTATCAAAATAATAACAAACTCTGCTTTCAGTGCTTTCAGACAACACTCAGCCCCCTTTTTAAATCCCTAAACATGCTAAACATAAACTCACTCTACACATTCTCTTGTGTCAGTTACATTTACAAAACCGTTGGTGCAGCTTTTGTGCCGGTGCCTCCTCTGGTGCTGTCTTCCTCATGTCGGCTTCTTGCATTTCTTTTCTTTTTTCTCATAGGGGTGCTGGTCCCTTTGCAGGTCGCCTGTAAGAGGGGTGCTGGAGGGGGAGGGAGTCTTGCTCTGTTTGCCCACACTTGGTTCCGCGTTTAATGGGCAGTTCAGGTCGTGTTCTCTGGCCTGTGGTGCTGTTGGGTGGCTGCTCCTCCTCTGGGGGGGGGGGGGGGGTTCGCAGTTGTTGGCAGGGTGGGCTTCTTTCTCTTCGCTCTATTGGGTCTTCTTGTTCCAATCCCGCTCCAATACTGTGCAGGTCTTCGGTTCATTCTGGTTTTGTCCTGTCTGTACCGCTGGCTTCCTTCTTGATGACTATGTCCCATTTCCGGCTTCTTTTGGGGCCGGGTTGTTGGATGGTGTGTCTGGCTCTTCGGGTCACGTCTTGGCGTGTCCTGCTTCCTCTGGGGTTCAGGGCCTGGTTCGTTTTTGTGATGAGGCAGCTTGCTTCTTATCTTCATTGCCTTTCTTTTGGCCTACTTTTGGTACCTCGCATTTCTGCGACTTACCCGGTTCGTGGTGGACCGTATACATTTGCTTGGTATTCGGGTGTTGGTCCATCTCGACAGCTGGTTGGTGTGGGCTCCCAGCTAGGTTTGTCTGTTCTGGTTCCTTCGGGGTCCTCCCTTCCGTCTCTCTCGCGATTGCTGTATTCAGCCTCTGGGGGGCCTTGCATCGGTTGCTGCATAGCCAGCTCCCACTTCAGGTTTTTCGGGGTTCAGTGCCTTGGCACCTTCCCGAGCCCTCGCTCGATGTGTTCACGGATGCCTTGTCTTTCGACTGGGGCTTTATGACCAGTGTTCACCAGTCCATCCTTCTGCCGGTCTCACAGCACAGGGCAGGGGTTCGTTAATTTTCATAAATTTCTGTAGAGGAAAACATAAATTAACAAAAGCCATTGTCTAAGGTTTATGCAAAATTTGTTCCTGATTCTACAAATTGTTCACAGCTAACATTGCTATCGTGAGGTCCTACATATCATCCTCTACCACGACAATGGAGAGAACAACAGCGGTTGCATTAACATCAGCTGCACAAGGCCTTGGCTTTATCATTGGTCCAGGTGAGCAATTTCTAGTAGAGTTAATATATAGTAATAGCTACCTAGTGTTAATAACAGGATAACTTAGTTATCCTGTTATTAACACTAAGTTATTAAGTTAATAACTTAGTTTCTATTGTCTACTTGCCCTCTGCAGTGTAATAATAATACTGTAATAATGATATATTTAAAAATAACAGATGACGTAATTTCATTGATTTCACAGTAACTATTTGTATTTTTTTATGAACACTAATCTTGAACAGCATTTCAGGCATATTTAAGATTATGGTGAGGTTTTAATTTGGAAATTTATTATGGGTTGATATGCATGTATAGTTTTCTAGTTATTTAATTGTAATGAATATACATTGCATTATTTTAGATTCTGTAGCTTTAGTGGTAAATGTTATAATAGTATATTTATAGAATTTAATACTAACAATTTAATAAGAAACATGATTTTATTAGGAAGAATTATTTAAGATTTATGATACTTGGTGTAGTAGAAGTAATAGCGTTTCTCCCTCTCAGCTACTTGCTCTCTGGAAGTGCAGTACAGTGTTCACTTGCAACCTCAACTTTATATTTAGTAATCAGTGTCATTTTCCTTAGTTATCTTTGATGAGAGTTGTATTCCATACCAGTGATTTAATGATCACTTGGTTCAGTTATGTGAAGATACATAATTCAGTTCAACAAGTCTTGACAACTTTAATCACAGTTATTATGTACAGTATTTTGCTCGATAATGTTCAAGACTTGTTGGCTTAAACTGTTATTTGTTGTTTGTTGTTCAGTAAGAATATGCCCTTCCTTCTGTATGCCATTGTTTTACTAATATATTTATCATTTAATACCTCATTTCCAATATGCTATAAAGGAGCCCTGTGGCATTGAAATTTAGCCATTGTGTTATGTACACATGCAGCACTTCAGCTTGGACTCGCCGTTCTGTATTCAAAGGCTTCTTTTAATGATGAAATCTTGGAGAAAACTTCATCTGTTATACACAGCAAAACAGGTAGCATGTTTTGCCCCCCCCCCTTTTTTTATTTTTTGTTTTGCACGATCCTGCGCAAGTGTTTCAGTTTATGCCTCGGGTATGCTGTGTTAGTGCTACCATGCACTTATAATTTGTAGTACTGATTACTACATTTTTGTATCTTGCATGTACATTATAATATTTGTCATGCTCAGCTATGTATGTATATTTATTTGTTGTTATATTTATTTTTATATTTTATATTTTTTATATTTATATATACAGGTGTGTGTGTGTGTGTGTATATATATAAATAAAATGTACCTAGTAGCCAGAATGCAGTACTTGGCCTACTATGCAAGGACTGATTTGCCTAATAAGCCAAGTTTTCCAGAAATATATTTTTCAATTTTTTTTTCTTATGAAATAATAAAGCTATCCATTTCATTATGTATGAGTTAATTTTTATAAAATTGAGTTAAAAGTAAAGTAGATATATGACCGAACCTAACCAACCCTACCTAACCTAACCTAAACTAACACAACTAAGTCAATAATTTATATTCTTAATATAATATAATAATAATAATTCAAATAAACTAATTGGCAACAATTTATTGAAAATAAAGAAAATCACTTGGCCTATTAGGCAAATTGGGCCTAGTAGGCCGAGAAATGCGTTCTGGCTACTAGGTACGACATATAAAAAAAAATATATACTGTATATATATATATATGTGTATGTAATGTATGTATGTATATGTGAGACAGTGTCAGACCATGGAGGAAAATTGAAACAGGAATTTCCTTAAGTACTTTCGTATATTAATAGATCTTCAGAAGGAGTCACTCCTTCTGAAGATGGATTAATATACGAAATTCCTGTTTCAATTTTCCTCCATGGTCTGACACTGTCACATTTTTAATCACGTGTTTATTTTTGTGATATACACACACATATATATATGTAAATGTTCGTTTGTACAGTCGCTAATCTCTGAAAGTACTTCACCGATTGCTTTGAAATTTTCACACAACGTTCCATTCGCATCCGAGCAGGTTTTTGTATACATATTATATAGATGTCATGTCTGTGATGTGATAAAACATGATCTCTTTGAAAAGCTGTGTTTTTCATGTGTTTTTCATGTGAGGAAAAACTTCAAAACCTCTTTACCGACTGGTTTGAAATTTTAACACAGCGTTGAATTCGAATAAGCGCGTGTTTTTATATACCTACTATATACATACCTCACCTGTGACAGGATTTTTTTTTTTTTTTTAAACTGCCATCTGTTGGACATAGGAGCAACACACGCTGTAATCTCTTAAAGTTCCTCACCGATTGCTTTGAAATTTTGACACAATGTTCCATTCGAAGACACTGGTGTTTTTATACACCTATTATATAGATGCCACACCTGCAACAGGTAAAAACATGCTTTTTTTGAAAAACGGCGCCATCTGTTGCACACAATAGCAACACACGCCATACTAAATATGTTACGATTCCATTTCATTGTTTCCGATTGCATTGATAAATGGAATTTCCATAGATTTCAAGGAAATCTAAATTTCCTCGAAATGACGAGGGGCCGGTGAGTTTGAAGCACAAGGTAGGAAACTATGAGGATGAAATGACATGCTTTTTGGTTTTTACTTTTGAACAGGGCATAGGTTAGACAATTTATTTAATTCATTAGAGAGTGAGTTCCATAGACTGGGTTCTTTTATTTGCATGTAGTGTTTGCACAGATTTACTCAAGAGCCACTAACCCTAGTGGCCTCGAAGAGGACAGAAAGCCGGCGGCTTGTTAAAGGTCCCCCATTGCCTTGATAATCTTTTCCAGGTATTCAGCACAGTTTTGGCAGTTACGGTTTCAGTGGGTAGGCGGTTCCATGGGTTAATAACCCTGTAGGTGAAAAGCATCTCCTGTTCTCAGTCCTACATTGTGGCTTGTTGAGCTTGAAACCGTTGCTCCTTGTTTGTGTTACATCTGACCTGAAGAAAATATCGGGATCAACATCATCTAACTCATTCAGTATTTTAAAAGTTTCAATGAGATCCACCCTGTCATCCCTGGTTTGCAGTGTTGTTAGCCCTGTGTCCTTCAAGCGTTCCTGATATGGGAGATGACTTATCTCTGGAAGGACCTTTGTTGCCCGGTGTTGCACCTTGTCCAGAGCAGCTATATGTCCTTCTGAAAATGAGGTCTACATGTTTGGGTGTAGTAATCTAAGTGTAAAATTTTGATTTTATACACCAGGGATTTATACATTTGAACCATTTCCTTCTTTTCCTTATAGTCAAAAGTATGCTTGATTATCCCAAGAGTTTGGTTAGCTTTTCAGACTGTTGCATTTAGTTTGACTCCGGGGATATCAAAGAGATGTTTATTTCTGGTATGGTGCTCATGTGTTCTATTACATCTATCAAGGAAGAGTTTCAGATCAAGATTAGCATTTAAGAACAAGGTTTTGTATATGTAAATAGCACATGAGAATGTGTGGCGTGAGTGTATGTTTAGGGATTTAAACAGAGGGGCTGTGTGTTGTCTGAAGACAGAGTTTTTATAGTTCTGATAGCATAGTTTTACTGGGTGATGATGGGCTTAAGGTAATTTGCAGTGGTTGAACCCCATGCACAGATAGCGTATGTAAGATAGGGATAGATTAGTGCGTAGTTTAATGAGAGGAGAGCAGAGTGAAGAACACTCACGTCTTAAGTATGTGTACTGCATACACATCCTGTGGGTGCTAGTTCATGGGCACTGCAAACTCATCCTGTGGGTGCTAGTTCATGTGCACTGCATACTTATCCTGTTAGTGCTAGTTCATGTGCACTGCATACTCATCCTGTGGGTGCTAGTTCATGTGCACCGCATACTCATCCTGTGGGTGCTAGTTCATGGGCACTGCATACTCATCCTGTGGGTGCTAGTTCATGTGCATTGCATACTCATCCTGTGGGTGCTAGTTCATGTGCACCGCATACTCATCCTGTGGGTGCTAGTTCATGGGCACTGCATACTCATCCTGTGGGTGCTAGTTCATGTGCATTGCATACTCATCCTGATGAAGAAATATGAGTGAATTTTGTTACATGTTAATTGGGTATTTCTTAATGTCTTTTAAATTGGTTGAGAGAAGTAAAGCATTTAATTGCATTGGGAGGGGGGGGGGGGACATTGCACAATTTAGGACCCTTTATTTATGCGGCATTTCTGCTTTGGTTGAGAAGTGCTCTTGGAATAATATATAGATATTTGTTTCTTGTGTGGTATCCATGAGTTCTGTTACAGACCTCTATGAAGCATTTGAGGTCAGGATTATTACTGCACTTCAAAGTTATATAAATATAGATTACACCTGTGTATATGTAGCCCCTTTATATTTAATATTTATATTCAAAGATTTAAGAAAGGGTGCCGAGTGCTGTATGAGATTGGCCTTTGTTCATTTCAGATAGTAGTTGTAGCATTTGTTCATTCCAGCAATCCAGACTGCATTAGCTGTAGCCTTTGCCCACAACACTGCCAACTACAGTAATTCTACACTCTCCGGAGAAGGTACAGCTGAGCAAGTAGCGACAGATGGAGTACATATTGAGCTGAACATGTACTCGGCAACTGGTTGGATTGGGGTGTTTCTTGGAATTACAAACTTCTTTCTTTTCTTCCCTTGTGTGTATCAGGTAAGTTTAATTTAGAATATCATTTATTATAATATTAATATTGTATTGAAACCACATGAAAATTTATAAAATCACTTACCTCACAGATAAAAAAATATCTGAAAAGTTATTTAATAAAGGAAATTAAGTACGCATTGATTTTTGAATGAGGAAGTCAAAACTTAAGGTTACATTAATTGTATATACAGTGGTACTATACTGCACATTATGATTATCCAGTTTCCCTTTCTCATGGAGTGAGGAACAGTGGTTGTAAATAGAGCATTTATATTTACTCCTTAACCACAGTTCTTTCAGAATCATTGGCCTGATTCTTGGAACTAAGGGTACTTTCTGGGGGGGAACCCCACTGGCTCCCCAGAGCTATCCAGGCTGTATGGCTATGTATATCTGTCTGGCATCAGTCATTGCATGGAGTTTTTGCCCACCGGGGACCACCAGCCAGAACCTGGCTCCCTCTAGAGAGGCACGAGGAGCAATGGCTTATAGAGATCCCCCCTGTGGTTGGGAGCATTCTGTGTCTGTCATCGACCAGGACAGGCACCCAGAAAGGTAGGCGCCCCAAAACAAAATCCTATTCTGGTAAAAGAAACGGCCTGTCTCGTTTCCTTCCCCTTTCCACGGAATGGACAGTCGACGCCGAACCCTTCCGTTGGCTGTACCAGACGTTCGGGACTCCGGATGTGGATCTCTTCGCGTCAGCATGATCGAGGCGTATTCTGGTCTACGTGGCGCCCTTCCCCGACTGCGAGGCCTTCGGGGTCGACGCCTTCAGGCAGGACTGGGCGAGGTGGGGTTACCTGAATCTCTTTCCCCCGGTTTCGCTGTTGCTCCAGGTCCTGGCATGTTTAGAGACTTACCAGGGTCGAGTTGTCCTTCTGGCTCCTTGGTGGCTGGCCCAGCCTTGGTTTCAGGCGCTGCTTGCTCGGTGTCCAAACCCGAGGGTCTTCCCGCTGCTCCACCTCTTTCAGCGGATCGGTTTAGCCCGCTATGAGACTAGTTCGGTCTTCTCCTCGAGTCTTCGCGTCTGGAGTTTTTGACTCGGGTTTATTTATCATCACTTGTATGGTGCGCAGATGGCTTTGTTGTTGGTCTCCTACCTGCGTGCTTCGTCTCCGCGGCAGCATGAAGTTTCCCGGCGGTCCTTCCGGTTCTTCCTATCACTGCATAGGTGTTCTTCGGTCTCTGATAGGGTTGTTCTGTCCTTTCTCTCTTGGTTGTTCCAGGACCGTCATCTTATGCCCAATACTGTCGCCTCGTATCGTGCGGCACTGGCGGAGCCGCTTCAGCTTGCTTTCGGTGTTGATGTTATTTCTGCCCCGTTCCACAAGCTGTCTCGGGCGTTGTTTCACCTCCAGCCTGCTCATGCGCCTGCTGAGCCATCCTGGTCCTTGGACCGGGCGTTGTCGTGTCTCTCTTCTCCTCAGTTTGTTGTGGCCTCTTCCGTTCGGGATTGTTTTTCTAAAGCTCTTTTCCTGTTGCATTGGCTTCTGGGGGTCAGGTAGGGGAGCATCATGCTCTCCTCTGGCGCAGGGGTTTCTGCTCCTTTCTGTTTCTGCTTCGGTCCTGGTGGTCATTTTGTTCAGTTGCAGCCATCTCCTCCTTTTCTGGCGAAGAATGAAACGACTGCTTTTCAGAGGGGGGCTTGGGTTGTTGATGCTTGGTTGGTCAGGCCGGGGGTGCATCATGTGTTGTGTCCGGTTGCAGCTCTCCGCCGTTATTTGCTCGCCACGGCTTCGGTGGCCGGGGATGCGTATTGGGTTGACCCGGTTTCCCTTCTTCCCTTTTCCCGGGCTCGGGTCTCTCAGGTTGTCAGCGGGGTTATTAAGTCTAGCCAGCCTGCGGTTTATCCCCGTGCCCACGACGTGCGTAAGTTTGCTGCTTTGGCTGCCGTCTTTAGTAACATGTCTTGGGTTGATATTCAGGCACAGGATTTTTGGAGGTCAAACAGGGTCCTGGCTGCTCGCTACCTGGTGAATGTTCCGGGGCCAGGTAGGGCCTGCATTGCCTTGGGTCGGCAGATGCAGCCAGCTGTCTCGACTTCATGTTGAGTTGTGAGGACGTACCGCCTCCCGGGTAAGTCCCTCTTTTTCCGTCTGTGGGTAGTTAGCTCCGGGGAGCCGACAATGCTCCCCCCAGTAAACCAGCATTGAATGTAACTCACCCATTTTCTGGATGAGTCCCGGAGGCTCCCCGGCATCCCTCCCTCCAAAAACACCGGTCGGCGGTGTTTTTCGTGCTATTCGACATCCAGCCTAAGAACTGAAGGATGGGTCGCCGATGGATGGGTCTGGGGCTCCCCCTTCCCCCTCCCGTAGAGGGGTGGGGGGGTTTGTGCAGCGACATGATGGCGTCATGCTAGTTTGCTAATTTTCGTTTGGGGAGTTCTGTCCACCTGTTCGGCTTTCGGTTGCAATACTTTTACCAGAATAGGGGTTTGTTTTGGGGCGCCTACCTTTCTGGGTGCCTGTCCCGGTTGATGGCAGACATAGAATGCTCCCAACCACAGGGGGGGGTCTCTATAGGCCATTGTTCCTCGTGCCTCTCTAGAGGGGGCCAGGTTCTGGCTTGTGGTCCCCAGTAGGCAAGAACTCCATGCATTGACTGATGCCAGACAGATATACATATCCATACAGCCTGGATAGCTCCAGGAAGCCTCCGGGACTCGTCCAGAAAATGGCGTTTCATTACATTCAATGCTGGGTTTTTTTATATAAAGAAAAATAATAGTTTGGATTTAGTTTGTTTTGAAACACGAATAGGTTGAGGATACATTGGCTCAAAAGAGATATCTGACTTTAAAGTGGGATTTGCATTGTACTTGCTTTTTTATATATATACACATATATAATCTTTAGTTTCAAGTACTGTACTAAACAATCAAACTAATTTAAAACAATTATTTACTACTTTTATACATTTACAGGAACACCCAATTGCAGCCAGAGAGGCAATGCTTCAGAAGAGACTTTCTAGGGATGTCAGCAAAAAATTCCCAAAGCCAGATTATGTTTGTTTGATTGGAGTCCTTTTTTCATTTTTCATTTTCCTCTTTATTTATGTGCTACTTGAAACTATAATTGTGCCTATGTGTATTGACCTATATGCTTGGTCAGATGAAAAAGCTATAACAATTGTAGGAATTGGTCTTAGTTTAGCAGGAGCAATGTCAATAGTTATGTATGCACTAACTAGTGTTTTGACGAGACGATTTGATGAACGTAAGGTTTTTATATTTTTAGGTTTGGTGCCAATGACGATAGCCATGTTAATTCATTTTCCAATGGGAAATACATATCCTAAAATCAGAAATTGTACAATTGAATCATTGCCTAATGAAGGATTTGATAACCCTTCAACTGTGGTTCCAGATCTTTTATCATTAACAACTTTATCAGAACACATTAGTACAACAGAAAAACAACCTTTAAGACTATCTGGAGAAGGATTGAATAGGAAAGATTTGACAACTTCAGCACCATCATCAGAAAAAATCAATATTTATAAAGAGGTGGACCTTTCAACATCCATATCAGGAAATATCAGCACTGCTAATGAAACAGAAACCTTAGCATTTCTGGAAAGGACAAGCATTGGTGATGAAGTAACAACTCCAGCGATGAGCACTACAGGGGATGAAATGAAGCTTTTGTCAAGAAGAAAAAGGTATATAACTAGAGAGGCAACATGCAGTGATCTGGGGTGTCCATCAGAGCAGGAGTGGTGCTACTACACTCCTATTATTGAAATGCCCCAGCTGGCTGTAGGTGCTTTTATAGCAGTAATTGGTTACCCAGTAGCCTTTTCATTGTCTAGTTCACTTTTTTCTAAAATTTTAGGTCCCAAACCTCAGGGAGTTTGGATGGGAATTCTTACTAGTACGGGCAGCCTGTCTCGGGTCGTTGGTCCAATATGTGTATCGTACTTGTATACAGCACTGGGCACCAGATGGACATTCGGTGTACTTGTTTTACTAATGGGCGTTACAATTGTTGAAATATGCTGCTTATATCAGAGACTGATACCCATGAAATTAGTTCGTGCAAAACCATAACAACAAAGGCCATTCAAATGTTGCAAAACTACAACATTTAATACTTATGTGATTATCTCGTTAAAGTTATAGGTGGAAGCGTTATACACATATCTTGTTTAATAATAATATTTTATTTAAAGATATACAAAAGATCAGATTACAATGGTCACTAGTAGGTACAGTGTTTGTATATTTTGAGGTACCGTAATACTGTATATGAGAGAAGCTGATAATATATGAATAGTTAACAAAAATTTGCAAAATTGTATATTGTACAGTTTTTAAGGTGCTATTTAACCCTTCGGCTGCACGTCATATCATATGATGGGATACCAAAATATGCTCAGACTATGCATCACATCATATGAAGAAGTAGGGAACTGCCTGAAATTTAGAAGTCTTACACATACATGGGGCTTACAGTTGCTACCATAGGCCTTCAGTAACACTCCCCTGTTTTGATCAAATAATCCTGAGTCCCTCACTTTCCTTCTAGGGCCTTAGTAAAAAAATGAGGACCATATCTGGCAACATCATCCAGTGTACTCGCCTAATTGTGCTTGCGGGGGTTGAGCTTTGGCTCTTTGGTCCCGCCTCTCAACTGTCAATCAACTGAGTGTGTGAACTTGCAAGGCGGCACACTCGGAGCCACTCAACTTTTATCAATAGCATATGAGGGATTATTATATATGTCAGGCAAAATGGGTGCCATGTCCAAATACTGTATAGGATTTAGGCTTTATATATATATATACTGTATATTTATTATTATTATTATTATTATAAATAAGTACATGGTGTGCATATATTTATACACATCTGTACATACCTATATTTTAAAAGTTATACCTAATGAACCCCATATTTGACACATCAGTACAACTTGTTAGAACCAAAAAACTATATAAATAAAGTGAGAAACAAAGTAAATAAATCAGCAAAGTTATTCCTGTGTGGCACCTCACCTCATTTCTACTTAAACAAAAAACCCAACTTCTCCGGCCCGCTGTGGTAAAACCATAAGAGATACTTTTTTTACTTTTTTTTTTTTTTTTTCTTCCTGGATGCTAATTATCAATGTCAGAAGAACAAATAATTTTTTCAGAACAATTTTTTTTATGCGCACCCGAGTGTTGCATGCTAAAATCGCTTGAGCAGCTGAAGGGTTAATAATGAAAGGAACAGACTATTACTATTTTAGATTGTGTAGCTTTAGAGAAGTATAATAACAGTAATGACCAAAGATTCATGCTTACCGTGCAGACATTTGGACCTGTGCCTGAAAAGTGTATCTTACTCGCATTTGGTCGTGGAAATACACAATGAATTCAATCTTTGATCTTTGTACCACTCTTAGATGATATTTTTGTTGGCTGCATGAGCCTGGTTACTGGTGATGTTAGGCAACTTGTTTTACAAGAAATACAGTAGGTTTATATTGAATTAAACAAAACATGAATCTTCTTTTAATAAAACCCTTAAAATTCCAAGTTAATGGAATACACTGAAGGAGGAATACTGCTGAAGGGTCGGTAGGTATGTGATCAAGAGGAAAAATATAGATTACACTTGTGTACTGTACTTGGCAGGATAGACAAAGTAATTATAACAATTGTTTGTTAGTACTGGGATTTGTATTTTTAAATACTATTAGTGTAATTTTTGTGTTTGTTATATTTTAAAATTTCAATTACAAAATATAGATGAAGCCTAGCCAGAATGCTCACATGTACACCATGCATAATATAGTGTCTCAGTGGGCTGAACATACACACTATGTAACAACATTGAGTGCACTCTAAAATATGAAATGCTTTGAACTTAAAAAGTGTGGTGCATTGATTAAAACTACATAAGTAGTAAACTGACCTGTGAAAGTACATAAGGAGTAAATTGACCTGTACTTAACACTTTAGCATTCCACTCTAAAATGTGTCATTCAAACTTTGAAAGTAAACGTAAAATGCATCATCTCAAAATTCCCCCCCAAAAAGTCACTTAATTTAAGCTACCTTTTTACTTTTTATTTTGTGAGCACTGCAGGAATAGTCTATCAGGGGACCATCTAGAGATCATCTCCAACTACCTATCACATCACTCAATACAATAATTGCTCTGCTTGTGAATAATTTCACTATGCTTTGCAAATTACCTCCAGAAAAGGATGAAAATTATTTTTCTCTTTACAGTAATATTGATCAAAAATGTGTGCTCATTACCAATTATTTTTAATTAAGGAATATTAAAGACTTGAGGAATGTTGACATTTTTATAAGCATTTATAACAATTTAGCACAGTCACCCGCAATCTTATATCAATGCACCAATCACTTGGACTGGACGATAGTGACGGTCTCGCTTCATGCAGGTCGGCGTTCAATCCTTGACCGTCCAAGTGGTTGGGCACCATTCCTTCCCCCCATCCCATCCTAAATCCTTATTCTGACCCCTTCCAAGTGCTATAAAGAAGTAATGGCTTGATGCATTCCCCTGATAATTAAAAAAATATATTGATACACATTTTGTTTTGCATTTATACTCAAGTACATTCATCTGTGAACATTTTGACACCAAGTATATAGAGGTACTGTAACCCAAAAGCCGAGAAAATGTAATGAGTAAAGATATTCGGCGTCACTGAGTGGGACCTTGAGATGGGCAGAACATTTACAGCAGGGAGTTCTTAACCTGGGGTCCATGGACCCCCAAGGTATCCATGGATGTTTGCTTTAGTCATACTTTGCACATGTCATAAACTGTATGAGGCAATAAATTTTAAATAAAATAAAGAATATTCATTGTATGTAAAGTTGTTACTGTACATGAATATGTGCATATTTTTAGGGAGAGGGGTCAATAGCTTTCACCCGATTTTCAAAGGAGGTCAGTTATTCAAAAATAGGTTAAGAACCACTGGTTTAAAGTCAGATAGGTGCTGATGGGTCGGGACATCAAAGTGCTAAGATGCAGAAGAAGACCAAAGTGGCATAAGTGTACTCAATAGTCCAGTGCCTTAATACTAGATACCTTTTAATTCCAAATGGATGCACATACTATGTCTTTCATATACTGTTCAAAGACCTGTTCTTTCATGTTATCTGTTATATACAGTACTGTACCATACAGGTACTGTATTTGCACATTTTGTTTTAAATTGTGTGTGTAAAATAGAAAAACCCTTAATGTGTGTACTGGAAATGAGAGAGTAGTGTTAAAAAGAAGCATAAACATACATCCAACCATGTAGTCACCTTTATTCTGACCAGCTTGGAACTGAACAGTTGAAAAGTAGATTTAAGTTTTTTCAGGCATGTCCTCCCACTCCCACTAAATATTCATTTTATATCTGAAAATACATGACAATATAGGTTATAATAAATTCAGTACTATAAACTAAAGACTCAAAACATTATACAGGTCCACATTAGCACAAATAATAATATACTGTATTTCATGTATTGTAAAAGTAATGTATAGTGGTACACATTAACGTGGTGTGCCTGAACATGTGATCTTGAAACGCTACAGAGGTTAGTAAGATGGTGTTCATTGAGAAGTGTGGTGGAAGTTGAGGGTCCTGGGTTACACAGAGAAGGAACACGAAGCTTTAATTTGAGTTTTCTTGGCCACTGTCTCAAATGTCTGTGAATATTAATTGTTTGAAGTTTTATCCTTTAATTTTTGGAAATCTTTATAGATGTTATTCAAATTTACAATACTGAATACTTACTGAAGTCAGTTCTTTTCTCTATGATCTTTAAAATTGCCTTGACATCCATTTCTTGCATGCTTTCTTTGAATTTGGTTCTTCTCATTCTCCTCCACTGACTCCTCTGTCCTATGAATTACTTGTGCAATATGTTGTTATATCAATTATCTCAGGATCAGTATAATGTATCTGTTTCTCAAGATAGTCTGTGATTATTTTTGTTCAGAGTTCTGAGGACATTATTCCCTTAGCATAGCCAAGAGGTTTTTGTCTTATTAGTGTCTCCAATTTCCTTTGCACTAAAACCTTTTAAAGTCGGCAAGGCGGTGGTTGTTGTCATGAGGATTAAGTCTATCTGCTGGTCAAATTTTGTTTCAGCCTTGCTTTTAAATTTCATACACTCACTCCACACATTCTCTTGTGCTATTGATACTTAACAAAACCTTATTCTTGAGTTCTAATCTGGTTTTGAAACTACCTATATGTAATATTCTATATGTAATAGAACCCATGAGCGTCACACCAAGAATAAATGTCTTCTTGATATTCCCAGAGTCAAGATAAATATGCACAAATGCTCTATGCAAAGAAAATGACCCAATTCAATATATGTAACTCACTTCCTGATGAATTAAAAAAAAATTGTCCAGCCTATATTTTATTTCAGAGTTGAAGAAAGATACCTATTTTGAACTTCATGGTAGCCCACCCTGTGCTGCTAACACTCACAGTATCTTGTACTGTACTACCCACTTTCTTACTAAAGATGTGCAACTTCATCAGTATGATTTATTCTATCAATATTTAATGGGGTAGTTATTATGTGAATGTAAATTCTGTTAGTATACCCATCATTACATTTATTAGTTAGGACCTGCCCAAAATGCTATGAGTGTTAATGGCTTTGCAAGTATGTACCACTTAATTACCAATGTATGTACTTTCACAACTCAATGTACTTTGTATACAAATAAATAAATTAACATAAGTAGATTGTTTGACCATGTTCCATGCATGTGCAGTCTTCTATACAACTGACCTAATGTGAAGATATTTATGAATTCCTCAATGTTACCCTTCTGTAACAAATGGAGTTTCAAAATTTCTTAGATTGGTGTTTTGGATCAAGGAAGTTGAGGGCAAGTATGTCATTAACATATTGCCTTTGATTTGTTCAGTGTCATGTGGATGTGATGTGCTGTTATCAAGAAACAAGACCACTTTGGTGCTTGCAATTAAGCAAAGACTCTTAAAGTGATCTCTCACTTCTGGTACAATGAAATAAAATGCTTGACATCCATGCACTAGACTCAGCCTGCATGATATTTTCTAATTTGAGAAGATACTCCTCTGCACCTTCTACATCAGGTGACTGTTTCTTCCTGTGTTCAGTACAGTATTCTGATGCAGATGAGTCACAATAATGTGGCTGATGATATGATTATTACAGACTTAATCATTACTTGGCTTAATTACAGACCAATATCAAATCTACCTGTCAGCTGAGTGGACAGCGCTTCGGATTTGTAGTCCTGAGGTTCCGGGTTCGATTCCCGGTGGAGGTAGAGACAAATGGGCAAAATGTTTCTTTCACCCTGATACCTCTGTTACCTAGCAGTAAATACGTACCTGGGAGTTAAGACAGCTGCTACGGGCTGCTTCCTGAGGGTGTGTAACAAAAAAGGAGGTCTGGTCGAGGACCGGGCCGCGGGGACGCTAAGCCCCAAAATCATCAAATCAAATTAAATCAAATGTTTATTCAGGTAAAAGTACATACATAGAAGATTAGTTACAAACATAATGTTGGATTTATAGATAGAGGTAGTACATACAATACCTAAAGCCACTAGTATGCATAGCGTTTCGGGCAAGGTGAGGTGGGGAAAAAACACTTAGACTAAAACTGATTAGTAATTGAGCTTAAAGTATAAATTGCGTTGAAAGAAAAAAGTAAAAGGTAAAAAGGGGATCATGGTAGAAAATAGCCAATATACAAGTTGGTCAACAAACAGCATTGTTTAAAAATAGTAAGACATGGGTTGACATTTTAGGGGTAAGGTAGGTTACATGGAGTTAATTAGGCAGTACGTAGTTTTCATCTTAAACTGGTTGAGAGAGGTGCAACCTTTGACAGCCTCTCCGATCTGCTGGCCTCTCTAATCTGCCGGCCTCTCCGATCTGCCGGCCTCTCTAATCTGCCGGCCTCTCCGATCTGCTGGCCTCTCTAATCTGCCGGCCTCTCCGATCTGCCGGCCTCTCTAATCTGCCGGCCTCTCCGATCTGCTGGCCTCTCTAATCTGCCGGCCTCTCCGATCTGCCGGCCTCTCTAATCTGCCGGCCTCTCCGATCTGCTGGCCTCTCTAATCTGCTGGCCTCTCCGATCTGCTGGCCTCTCTAATCTGCCGGCCTCTCCGATCTGCCGGACTCTCCTTCGAGCCCTCCTCCTTTTTCATGACACCATATTAGGTGGTACCCTCCGCTCTGTTCCTCTCTCTACGTCCCGAGGCACGTGGAAGTTCGTTCCCTGGTAGAATGCAGACTGTGCTTGGGCTATCTTGTATCTGCTGTAAGCGTGCAGCCTGGAAGAAACACCGACGCCGCCAGATGGCAGCTTCTTTTGTTTCGGAAGGCGAGTGCGGTGACCCGTAGGGCCATCCATTCGACTAAACGTGAGAGTTGGAAATCTTGTCTCCACTATTACGACTGACACTCCTCTGCCCCAGATCTGGAAGAAAATCCGTAAGATAGCGGGTAAGTTTGTTCCAGATGTCTCGACAGTCCTTCACATCCGTGGTTCTCTTGTGTTGGATCCAGTGTCAGTCGCGACTGAACTGGGTTCCTACTTTTCGACTATTAGCTCCGGTTCTCATCTTCCTCCATCTTTCCTTACTCGTAAGTCCCATCTTGAGTCTTGTCCCTTAGATTTTCGCACACATCTTCAGCTTCCCTATAATGATCCTTTCTCTCTCTCAGAACTCTAGTCTGCCGAGACCCTTTGCGGTTCTACGGCAGCGGGCTCAGATGACATTCGTTGTGAGATGCTTCGTCATTTCCCTCCATGCACGTTTCAGTATTTACTGACTCTGTATAACCGTATCTGGGAGTCGTCGTCAGTCTTTGTGGACTGGTTTGAGGCGGTTGTTCTTCCTATTTGGAAATCAGGTTCTCTAGGGTTATGGGGTGTGTCACAGTGAGATGGTGTGTAGCTGGAGCTCAGATTGTCCTGATACTGAAAATGGAAGCTGTAGTGAGTGAACTGGTGCTAGTGAGGAAGCTATGTGCAACTCTGAGGGCAGAGGTGGATTCCCTGCGGGAGGAGCTACGACAGATGAAGGAGCGAAGACAGACAAAACACCGTCAAAAAGAAGGAAATGAGGAGAGCAGCAATAGAAAGTCGTCGTCCTGGAATGTCGTAAAGGACAGGGATCTTAAGAAAACTTTGACAAAGCCGCCTACAGATATTCTAAGGACTTCAAACTCATCCGCCGTGTTGGAGGACGAGTGCTCTGGGAAGCCTGCAGTTTGCTCGAAAGGGAAGGCAACAAAGGTAGCGCAGGTAACTCAAGGTGTTCAGAAAGTAAAGGAAGTACCTAAGCGAATTTTGGTTGTGGCAGAGTCCCAGGTGAGGTATTTGGATAGAACATTTTGTGACGGAGATAGGGGGAACAAGTTAGGGGTATGCTATCCGGGGGATTGGTGACATTGTTAACAACATGAATGATTGTTGGAAGCACGTGGTCACACATGTGGTGACCTCATTCATCGACTGCATATTGCCAGCACTCAACTCAGCTGGAGTTGTCAACACTGCGTGCAGATGGGCATCTTCATCCAAGTGTGACTTCACTCCTACAGCCAGACCATCTCGAGCAGCAGCGCTGCACACACACACACTATAGCTAGTATGTGGCCCAGTAGAGAATATATAAGTTTTATAATAAAGAAGAAAAAGCCACAGGCGTTTGTACTTCGTTCCTTCCCGCTACCAAGAAAGCTAGAACCACAACCAAAACAGCTGTAATTACTGTTGGCAGCTTAAGTGGGATTCACCTGATGTACTCCAGCTCCTGGCCCAGCTATCTGGTACAACCACAACAGCTGCAACACAGCATCCAGCAACAAAACAGCTCGCCGTGTGACATCAGCGTGTCGTGAGTGACATCACTACTCACTGCCTGTGCCTGGGTCTAACCTAGCGTGCCTGCCCTGCTTGCCAGCCTCGCGCCTTGTGTCCAGCTTCCCTGCCTGCCTCACTAAGAGCTAGGCGCGCTCCAGGCTGACTCACCGTGATTCACCGTGCCTCATCGCCTCGCCCGGCCTGACGCCTCCCAACGCCGTCTCCTGACGTCTCCTGCCGCCACCTGACGCCGACGACACCACAGTACGACGCCGGACCTGCGACGACCTGATCATCTGTACCTCGTTGAATGGATTGCAGCCCCAGCGCCCTTCAGCTCTAGTTAAGTACCCATTGTTATTTGTGTAGTAAGAGTTAAACCGTAGACTATTATGGGCACGATATAAACTTTGTGGACTTATGGACAACCGATATCGCCCTAGATCACTTAGGCCTCGCTTGCATAGTTGCCCCTACAGTCTCCGGTCTTGCTCACAGTCTGAGAGTGACTTAGTGTTAGCCCCAGTGAACTACATGAGAATACTCGCTTTCCATCATCTCACGGTATCTTAGATTCTGTTTCCTCTTCAACCAGCAGGTACTCAGTACCAAACATGGTTCACCTCCTAAATGGGTACTCAGTACCAAACATGGTTCACCTCCTAAATGCAGCGGGTCCTAACTCGAGCACCATTACAGTTCTTACCCAGTCTGTTGACATACACCCATTTAGTGGAAGGGATCCAGCCCTCTTGGAATCTTGATTCTCTAGTGTAGAAGCTAGATTACAGGGCAAGGGTACTGCTGTAGTACATGCACTCTCTCATACGACAAATCGAAATCAGTTAGCGATCTCACCTGAGCATCTTAGTCCCACTGACTTCCCAGACGCCCAAGCTCAGTTGCTGACAATCCTCAACAAACATCTCACTGTTGTTGCACTGACAGGAGAACAACTTGGACTGACACACCTCATCACAAAATTCCTCTTGAATCAGGTACTCGACCAATTTATGTACTCACATACAGATTGCCTCATTCTCAACGAGCTGTTGCAGACCGACTTATTAACGAGATGCTACACGGAGGCGTTATTGAAGAAAGTACCTCTCCATGGAATGCTCCATTGATCTTAGTACCCAAGAAGGATGGCTCTTGGCGTCCCGTCGCTGATTTCAGAAAACTTAACCAAGTGACGATACCTGATAGGTTTCCACTTCCCATGCTCACTGACTTATTGCAGAACATAGGCCAGAATAGTTTTTTCTACTCCTAATCTATTGCAAGGTTTTTGGCAAATACCGCTTGATCCAGAAAGCCGAGAACTGACAGCGTTTTCAGTCCCTAACGGTCATTACCAGTACACCCGAATGCCTTTTGGCTTACGCAGCAGCCCTATTACCTTCCTAAGGCTTACCTTGAGGTTACCTTGAGGTGCTTCCGGGGCTTAGCGTCCCCGCGGCCCGGTCGTCGACCAGGCCTCCTGGTTGCTGGACTGATCAACCAGGCTGTTGGACGCGGCTGCTCGCAGCCTGACGTATGAGTCACAGCCTGGTTGATCAGGTATCCTTTGGAGTTGCTTATCCAGTTCTCTCTTGAACACTGTGAGGGGATTGCCAGTTATATAATACCCACTGTCCTATGCTTACAAAACAAGTCACAACCAAAAGGCTTAACAATCCCTGGCTTACAAAGGGAATACTTAAATCTATTAATAAAAAACATGACCTTGAGAAGAAGTATAGGTTAGGAATTGTCTCCAAAGAATTCTCAAAGAATTACTCATTATTGCTGTCTAAGATAATTAGACGAGCCAAAACTAAATACTACGAAGATAAATTTACCCAAATAAAGAGCAACATTAAACAAAC